ACAATGGGGAATGTCCTGGTGCCATTTGTTGTGCCCTGAGGGGTGGGGGTGGGGAAAGGGGGGGGGGTTACAAGTTACCCAGACATTTCACTGGTATGTTATCTTAGATGCAAAAAGACAAATGGCCTCAGTAAAGATCTAAGTTGATCTTTGTAAGGGAAAATACTGGCCTAGGACATGACTACCCACCGTAATCTGTTTGTAGTTAAAGTTTAATTTCAGACCATCCTTTGTGGTTACTTTAGGTCTCTTAGTTTGCAAGACTGCCATGCAGGCCCCCCTGAGCTTGTCAGGTCAGCATGTGGCCCCTTTTGTCCACATGTCCCTGATTTTTTACAGAGAGGAAGGGAAAGGGATAAAGAGTTAGAAACATCGATGAGAGAGAAACATCGATCACTGCCTCCTGCACACCCCCTACTGGGGATGTGCCTGCAACCAAGGTACATGCCCTTGACCGGAATCGAACCTGGAACCCTTCAGTCCGCAGGCTGACACTCTATCTATCCACTGAGCCAAACCGGTCAGGGCAATGTGTCAGCATGTCTTGCTGAACAGCTGGACCACTGGGGATGGGGCAAGACCATAACCTTAGATGGCATTTAAAGTCAAACTATTATTATTATATATCTTTAAAAAGACAGGTAAATGGGAGGCAGTCAGATCCTATATGTCCTTGTTAAAAAGTATTCTGGATCATTTCTCATTTTTGAGCCACCATGATCCTAGTCTTTTTACTGTTTGTCTTAAGTTTTGCTTTTCTGCATCTAATATAACATTTACATATCAGAAACAAAAGTAACAATATTAAACCAATAACACTGATTAAGAACAGAAAATGTCTAATACTAGACAAGGAAAAGTCTAAGGGGAAAAAGCATCCCAACCAACTGAAAAACCCTTTACATGTATTATCATAATTTTTTAGGCTAATTATATGTTTTCCTCCTTCATCCACTATCATTTGTACCTTATGATATGTTTGGCCAGATGAATTAAGACTCTCTACTATTTCATTATCTAGAAGCTTTAATTTTTCTTCTGGCCAGTTAATTTTATCCATTCCTATATTTAGGCAATATTCATCTAAAATACTCATCTAGATTAGATCTACATATTATTCTACCAGGGGAATTATTAGGGAAATGTTCTTGGAGAGGTTTGTCCAAGGTAGGTCCTTTATAATAGATACTAGAGGCCCGGTGCACAAAACTCGTTGGGGGGGGCGGTGTGGGGGTCCCTCAGCCCATCCTGCACCTTCTCCAATCCAGGACCCCTGCTGGCATTGAAGGTCGAATTAATATTATTCAAAAAGGGAAGGTAAATGGGAGGCAGTCAGATCCTACATGTCCTTGTTAAAAATCATTTCTAATTTTTGAGCCACCATGATCCAAGTCTTTTTGCTGTTTGTCAAGTTTTGTTTTTCTGCATCTAGCGTAACATTTACATACCAGGAATAAAAGTAACAATAATAAACCAGTAACATTGATTAGGAACAGAAAATGTAGGGGAAACAAATATCTGCTATTATCCAGAAGTTTCCGTTTTTCTTCTGGGCAGTTAATTTTATCCATTCCTGAAGCAGGGGGTCCCGCGGGGGTGAGGCCGACGGAGTCCTAACAAAGCATGCCCGACTCCGGGGACGGTTCAGTGACGCAGATCCAAGTTTATTGTGTGAGTGCAGCAACATATATAACATTCCAGACCAATCAGAAGTTTACAACATCCATAGGGCAACCAATAGTAGGAAAGATCAGGGTACTATGTAGGGGCTCTAGGGGGTCAGCTCAGGCGGGCGATGCCACTTCCTGGTGTGCCGAGGAAGCTTGTGCAGGCGGAGCGTACTCACGCCATTGCATCTGCCGCAGCACTGAGATAAATCTCCTGAGCTCTCCCTACACATTCCTATATTTAAACAATACTCATCATAGGCGATCATCAGAATATCACTGTCTAGTAGGTGGAAAATTTTTCATGTCTAATAGGGAAAGAGTTCTAGAGAGACAGATATTGTTCCCACTAAGAAACCATAAGGAGGATGATCACAGTATAAAAATCATTTTATATACATTTAATCAATAATAATTAGGGGATATAAGAACAAGGTTGGAGCAGCATCAATTTGTGAGCACACAGGCCTTGTTGACGTCTTGGGATGGCTGTCTACCTCCTCCATAGTCGGCGGCTTCTCATCCTTGAGATGAAGGCGAGTGTCAGAGCCCTTTTCATGGATTTTTCTAAAGATATAGTATACCTACAAATGCATCAGAGTAAAGCAACGGCTGTTCATGAATGACAAAATTTAGAAGTGGCATGGTAATAGATTTGATAAAACTTTGCTTTTCTATAAAATATTCCAAAACAACAATTTCTTGGTAAATAATAATTCCTGTAAAATGACATAGAGAATAATATAAAATTTGTATACTTTTAGATTCAATTATAATTTCATGCGAAATACAAATATCCCGAGTATCACTGGCAGATGCCCCCACAGAGAATCATCAGTCTTGGCTTGCCTGGTGTCCCTGACTGGACACATGCTACCCCCCTGAAAGTTTCCTCTTTGTACCTGTCTCTGAATCTTTGCAAGTTCCTTTCTGAAGCCAACTGAAATTTCTATAACATTCATTTCAACAAAATATATGTATATAAATAGAACATAGTTATTAATTTTTATTTGACAAAGCTTCCCGTGTAATGTCAAGTATATTAAATCGGCCTAATTTAGTTCAAAAAATATTTCTTTTAAGAAGAGAGAATAAATCCTTGAGTCATTCCAGGGCCCTTGGAGTCAACCTTGGAATGCAGTCCATTCTTATTCAAAAACTGCATTATCATGGAAGCATTAACCTTGTTGCCCAACTCAGCCTATATAGTTTACTTCCCCATGCCTGTAATCCCTACTTCCCCCTGTGATCTTTGTCCCCATATTCATAAACAAGGGAAGAGGAAACCAAAATCCCTAAAAGATAGAAAGCCAACATTATATTGCAGACAAACAGAAATCTCACCAGCTGTTTCTGTGGCTGAACCCTGAGAGGGAGAGCAAGAAGAGCCCCCAAGATTAAGAGTCCTTGGCAGCTGCTGGGACATTCTTGCAATCTCTCTCACACTTTCAACCCCACCACACACAGCTAGGCTTCCCCAAAGCAGGACTTGCCTCTTCTTTAAACAAATTAAACAACAACAAAGAGACACAAAACATCAACACTTTTATACAGGTGCACAGAACACACCAAAAGTTTACACCAGAGAATGTCCAGCATTAAAAATTACCAGAGCAATGTCTTTTGTCCCTGGTTTGGGAACTGCCACTCTAGAACCTCAGCATTCTCCCAATGGACTATTTAAAAAACGGGCTGGGGTCTTTTCTAGTTGCCTCTACCTCCCTTTGTCTGGAGGAATCTTCCTAGAACATGTGCCATTGGCCACGTGTCTCCCAACCCCCACATGCTGTTTACTCTGGGGAAATTCAGTAATGGCCTGGCCACATGCTGTTTCTTTTCTATGAAGATAAATCAGGGGGAAAACAGGGTGTAGACATTTATTAACTTCAGAATAGTTCTGGGACAGTCTATAATTTTTTTATTAATTTTCATCTTTTTGGAAGAATTTTTCTCTATGCTTTTCCTTAGAAGCTTCTAATTTCCAAATCAAGATATGCTTCCCATATAGTCATTCAGCTTAATTTCAGAGCCGGCATTTTCTAATTTCTGCATGCAAAATGTTAATGTAGGTACCCAAAACAAACAGCATTTTGGCCATTTCTAAGTTGATATTTTCTAGTTAAACCTTCCCATTTCTGTAAAATACTTGCAAGTAAAGGCTTCCTATCAGGAGTATTAAATGAGGGCTGGGGTCTCGGGAGCTTTTGTCCTTGGAGGCACAATCTCATGTTTTTATGTTTATTTTTTTAATTGAATATCTGTAGTCTGAGCAAACTTTCTAGACATGTTATGTAGTGGGTCAGGTGTGGCCTCAGTTTCTCTCCCGGCTGTCTAAAACCACGGGAAAGGTTCAGGGTCCAGGCAGACCAAGCCTTATGGTGGCCCTCTAGATGAGCCATTTAGTTAATTACAGTTGTGTTGGGACTTCCCTATGGGGCTCCTGCATTTCTGACACCTCCACAAAGATTCTTAGTCACCTAAGAACACCCCAAAATCGGACTGGAGGGAGGATGTGCCACTTTATATTCGAAGCTAAATGAGTTCAGCTCATTTATATGGCAAAGGTTATTTTTGCTCAGACTCTCAGAAATTCCAATTGAAAAGCCAAAATAAAAACCGCCACCCATTTTTTTTTTCCCACTCACGCCTTAGCCTGGGTTGTGTCAACCCTTAACCTGGGTTCTCTCAACCCTGGTTCCACCTCGAGGATTTTAAAACAGCTCAAATAAAGTCAGACCCTCTACCAAAGCAAAGGAAGGTCCTGGATCCAAGAGACAACTCACCCAAGTTCACCCAATGGGCGGAGAACCTGCAGGCTCAATGGGCCCTTTGCTGGATCCTAGCTAGTGAGCTTCTTTGGAATCCTGCTGTGACTACGCCAAGTAATGTTAACGTAAAAACCATTGAAACCTGTAAAGAATTTTTGTGAGTTTATTTGAGCCAAACTGTCAACATATGCCAGAAAGCATATGATAATGCTCGGAAGATTGGTGGGTTACATCTGTATTTATACATTGCAATCAAAGCAAAGGGACGTAAGCGGGTTACATGAAATCCATTGGTGATAGACTAGAGAGGCGGGAGAAAGCAAAGTGGGAAACCACTAGGATTGGATAAAAGTAAAATGATGGACACATACTTAGGTGGGTGCAGGAACAATTAACATGATAATGAGGGAATTTGTGGTATCCTGGCGCCCAGCACATTAGGTTGTGCCCCAAGGGGTCCAGAAAAAGGGAAGTTACAAGTTACCTAGACATTTCAAAGGGTATCTATACTAATAAAAGGGTAATATACTAATTAGACCGGGAGACCTTCCAGATGTCCTTCCGGACAAAGTCATGGTAGCGGGGCCGACGCTGAGGCAGTTAGGGGTGATCAGGCCGGGGGGGTGGGGGGGGCGAGCAGTTGAGGGCGAGCAGGCTGCCAGGCAAGGTGGTTAGGGGCAATCAGGCAGGCAGGTGAGCAGTTAGGAGCCAGCAGTCCTGGATTGCGAGAGGGATGTCCAACTGCCGGTGGCCCGATCCTCCCTGTGGGCCTAAACCAGCAGTCAGACATCCCCCAAGGGGTCCCAGATTGGAGAGGGTGCAGGCCGGGCTAAGGGACACCCCCTCCCATGCACAAATTTCATGCACTGGGAACTTGTGTCATTATAGATGCAAAAAGACAGATAGGCTCAGTTAAGGTAAAGGTTGACCTTGTCAGTGAAGATGCAGGCCTAGGACGTAACTGCCCGCCAGGACTGCTTTTAGTTACAGTTTAATGTCAGACCATCCTTGTGGTGACTTCAGGTCTCTGAGTTTGCAAGCCTGCCATGCAGGCCTCCCCTGAGCTGTCAGGTCAGCATGTGGCCCCTTTGGTCCACAGCCTCACGCAGGCAGGATGGGAATAAACGCTCGCAGGAGCCACCGTCTCTGCTGCATCGCAGCCACCAGCGCCCTGGGTTGTCTGGCTTCACTTCGATCCCACGACTCTCACCCAAACCCCAACCTGACGGGAGACGGGCGTGCCACAGCCCAATGGCAACAGGCGCCCACGCGGGTGGGCGGGGCCTCGCGTGGGAGGGGCGAGCGGGATTCGCTGGTGGGCGGGAGATCCGCCGTGG